CTCATATTTCGCCATTAGGATAACTACTTGAATTTTAGTTTCTAAAGAATGTGACATGTTATTGATCTGGAACAAAGATAAAACTTTGAACATTTCTCTTTCATTTAAAAAAAAATTGTTCGATTTAGTTGAAAAATGACCGAGATATTAAATTTTCTTTTTGGTAGATGAATTTCCGGACACCCGTTAGAACAAGATAGATGTAAACGTGATCACTATAATTTCGGAGACAAAGAGACTGATAATACTGCAATATTGCAATCCTTTTTAGCTTCTAAATTCATCTATTGTTAACCGTAAGGACGCGCGCTGAAGTAAAATATGCCCAGAGATTAAAATAAGTCATGAGAAAGTACATTGAATTGTTTCAAAAACTAATCAAATATTTTCTAGACTAAATCACGTTTTAGTATTTACAAACATTTATAAATTTCAAAAATCATTAATCGTAAACTTATGTCTTGTAAATATTTGATGCCCCATATTTAGGAATGCACCAGTCCAATCCGACTGGAGATTGGTAGGATTGGTACCAGTTAAGCTCGGGTTTCAAAAAATATACGAAATGCGAGACTTAGTTTTATATAGCTACGTCACATATAAAATCTTTGAGTGCAAATACAGCAGTCAGCAAAATTCGTTTGATTTTTCTTCACTTTTCAATGAAGTTATGTTTTCCATTTTGATTTTACAAAGTTTAGAAGTTACTCTAAGCTAATTGCCGCAATGACGGTTACTTCTTAGGTTGTACGGTAAAGCTTTTGCCTACTACATTCAACCAAGCCTGACTGGTACTAAGCCTAACTGGTGATTGGCGGGGTTGGTACCAGTGCTCAAACGAGGGAACATATGTAACTGACCAATCGTTTTTTTAATGAAATTCAGTGGAGTATTGGTAAAAAATAATGCTGAATCCGAATATCGGCATGAGACGGGCCCCTAGGCCTTGCGAGTACCGGATTTCTGGGAAACCAGGTTTCCAGAGCCAGAAACTTTCTGTTCGAAAACTTTTTTCTGATCTATCTCGATTGTAGAGTACATCGAGAAACCTATAAAAAACTAGTTTTGGGGTTTTTTAAAGTGTTTTTTCTCCCTCAAAAAACCCTCGGCGTACGGAAAAGAGAAGAAAAGTCCGTCTGGCGGGCTGTGGAAGGGTTCCATAGTTCTGAAAACTAGTTTTTTATAGGTTTCTCGATGTGCTCTACAATCGAGACAGATCAGAAAAAAGTTTCTGGCTCTGAAAACCTGGTTTCCCAGAAGTTTGGTACTCGCAAGGCCTAGCGGCTCGTCTCATGCCGATATTCGGATTCAGCACTATTTTTTACCTATACTCCACTAGATTTCATTAAAAAAACGATTGGTCAGTTACATATGTTCCCTCGTAAGCCTAAGATTGGAACTGGTGCATGCCTACCCATATTCATACCTGTTGAATCAGCATATGTCGTTGAAAATTCGATATGCGAATCTGCATTTAATGTTGATTTTGCATAAATCATTATGCTATATCCGTTTGCAAAATATTGATGTCCATCATTATAAAATTGTGTTGGTGGTATTTGATATGGATTTGTTAATGTAAATAAAAATCTTGGATCATCTCCATATTCGTCATCGTCCACCCGTTCCGTTATCTCAAATAGTGGATCTTCTACCACGCGCTAGTTAAATGCAAAACAGTAAAATTGTCGTTACGGTTAACTACTGTAGTTTGAAATCTGTTCGTAGACTACTGCGATCAGAGCCAAAAATCGATAATCTTTCAACTTTTTACACCAAAACTGTAACAACGTAGAAACACATTTTAGACAAAGGGGCATGATTGTAGGCATCGAAAAGTCCGAAAACACTACTAAGAACGTTTATTGAGATTCCGCAAATTTTTTTTGTAATTAGCACCCAAGAAATAAAAAAATAAACATCTTGAACGACTACGTATGATTGTGTACTTTATAGGCACAAAAGACTAGACTTAGGGACTACGTGGAAAACATTCTACTCGTCCTTTGCTTTTTTAACTTACATTGAATATATACTCGATGATTTATTCACAATAAAATTAGCTGATTTACAATTAGTGTAAGTAAACCAATACTCATTTGTACATCCACCAAATAAATAATCTTCATATGACCGTCTAATAATCATCATTCGTCCCTTATTATTGTTATGACTACTCTCACAAAATATATTAAAATTGTTTCAAAATTGACTTTCAACAGTTCATCATTGGCAAAGACAAAGACGCCCATGTCTTTGAGACACTCCATTTCGGCAACCACTGCTTCGGGTTTTCATCGTATGTTATTCTTTATACCATCATCGAATTTATTTGTCAAGTATTCAATTTGTTTCGAAGTAAGCCGTGTGACTGTTCGGATTTTTGGTAGTACCCAACCATCGGACAAGTTGGGTCTAATTGAGTCTCGGTACCTTCTGGAAGACGCTGATGTTTCCCGGTAGCGAGATGGTTCACGAGATTTCCTAGATTCAAAAACTTCTTTACACATCCTTCCTCATAACAGTCGAAGAGACGTGCGAATGTTAGTAGACTGTTTCGACAAATCGCGTTGTTTGCTTTTGGATCGTGGTGTTACGAACAGAACGATCTTGTCATTTGCTTTATCACTGCATACAATAGTGCTAATATTTTCCGGTCGCTTTATTGTCGAAAATAGAATGAGTTTACCATCTCCGATTTTCCATGAGCGATGCACACGAATGCCGTCTGGTACGAATGAGAAATTGTTAAAGAGACTAATTTTGGCAAGTTGGAATGGAGGATCGTTGGTCACTTTGTCCAATCGAGTCTCGTACGCGTAAACTCCATGGACGCCTTCATTGGTGTAAATTGCTTCAACAAATTCGACTGCGTTGGTCACATTGTGCTTTTCGTCGAGGAAGCGACGCACATTCGATTTGATCACGGCCGCTTCTTAAGAGATTTGAGGTAGCGAGAGAATTGTTTGTACCGAGTGATAGCAGGCGGCGTTGTCGGAACGGATATAAGCATTTTTTATGCTACTGTCAACGCGTTTAGTGCGAGCAAGAACATCACGTAAAATGGCTACGACAGCTTCGCTGTCCTGCACGCAGTGCTCGAATACATGAACGATAACAAGGTAACTATATGCATGTTCGTCTTCGGTCGACGTATCCAGATCGATAATCTCGTCAAGGTTCGGAATTGTTTGTTCACACTTACGCACAACGACACTGATATGTCAACTGAGACCGCGTTTTCCAAAGAAATCTGACTGACCTTCTCGATATTCTTCTAGTGAACACGTCATGGCCCAGTCCATGTAAATGTACACAGAGTTGTTCGTTAATGTCTCAAGTATCTCTTGTCGACAGAGATCTTGGTTTATCGCACGAAGTAAGTGACACTTCCAGGCGTTGATCGCCTCTTGGTATAACTTGAACTTGACGAGTAGCCTAGTGGATACTTGCTTGTCGTTTGTATACACCTCCATTTTCGATAATAGTATACCAGTTGACAGAGGATACTGACCTGAAAAAAACCCTAAAAGGATTTGGGCTCATGTAGTTTCCCGTCTCGACGTCTACTTGTTTTTATTGCAAGTGCAATAATATTCATTTAGAATATCATAATGAAAGAAAAATAATATTTTATTTACCTTCACTGCTGATGTAGAGATTCTTTTCATTACTTTACATTAAAAAGCGAATATGAAAAGAGTTGGTTGTTTCTTCTTTTCATTTTTGTACGATACTTCTCAATTAAGAGAGGATCCGTCAGAGAATCGAGCATATTATAAGAGGGTGTCACATGAAAAATTTTAGATTTCAATCTAACTACGCCCATTCGATAGCTCATGGTGAGAAACCTCTATAGCCAGATTTTTTTGGCGTAGTCACCCACAGTATTTTACATTTTTCAGCACTTTCCAGATCTTTTAAAAAAACAGACTGTAGTGCAACTTGTAGAGAAAAAAGTTCTCTACAAGGCTGACTTATAAAATTTGTGCCGGAAATATATTAACAATGTAATTCTTTCAAAAAAGCCCAAAAATGAGTTTTTCCATTTTGGACTTTTCGGAGTTTTTGAACTTTTTTGGATTCCTATATGTAATGTGCAAGATGTAAAAAGTACGTCATCTTCTTTAGTTTTCTTTTCTCTTTCAAATGAGACGTTGCTCAAAAACATTGATCGCAAAATGGCAG